TAAGCCCTGCCCCACCCCCAACCTGAGCTTCCGGCCTCTTTCCCTTGGCTTTGAATTTCAGGCCTAGAACGTAAGCCTCACCTCCCAGTTAAGGGGATAGGAAGAAACTTTCGAGCTTAGAATGTAAGCCCACCCCCAGGTAAGGGGGTAAGGGATAGTGGTGGGCGGAGGCTTGTTTGCGTGGTGGGCGGAGGCTTGTTTGCGTGGTGGGCGGAGGCTTGTTTGCGTGGTGGGCGGAGATTTGCTTTCATAAGGCGGCCCCTGTTACTCCGTCTCTTTCTCTCCCCGTGTATCGAAGGAGCAGACAGCCATCTCGGGAGATTGTAATAAAGGTAACCTTTGCTTTCCACCATGAGGTCTCTGAGTTTAATTTGGGTTGGGGTCGCTGTCCCACACAACATGATAGCTGTTTGCAAGTATTTGAAGGGCTTTATACTGAGCAGTGATTAGATTTGTTTTGCTTGGCCATACGGTACAAAACAAGTAGCAATGGTGGGAGTTGCAAAGAGGCAAACTTTGTGGGCTTGATGTCCGAAAGGACTTGGTAACAATCAGAGTGGTCCCAAAGTGAAGGGGTTGCCCCTTCCTTGAAGGTCTTTAAGAAGTCTGGATGACTACTTTGGTGAGTATGCTGTACTGACCGTCACCGAGGTATCTTCCAGTTCTAAAATTCTGTGATTCTAGGGTAGTGTAAGGGGACTTTTTATGGGATGAAAAGGGCAGATTAAGCATTATCTGCTTCATTACCTGCTGTTGGACCCTCCCAAGCTCCGGCCAGCCTTGTCCTGATTCCTCTCCAAGCCCATTGCTGACTCAATGAACTTTCTCTACCTTGCCCTGGAGCAGGTACCTCCCACCTCCTTGACTATCTTCCTTTATGTGTTGTCTCCCCCCATTAGAATGTAAGCTCCTTGAAGACAGGGACTGTCTTTCTGCTTGTATTTGTATTCCTGGTGCTTGGCATATAGTAAACACTTAATAAAGGCTTGTTGATGTGGCTTTTAGGGTGTCTGAGTTAACATTGGGTCATTTTGTGCTATCCTTCCTTTTAGGGACCCCCAAAGCTCTGGGAAATTCCTCTCCAACAGTTGGGATTCCTCTTATACATGGGTTGGATTAGGTGGTCTCTGAGGTTCCTTGCTCTGGAATTGTACTGTCCTGTGGTGTTGCCCCTCAATGTCAGTGGCTGTCCTTTCTTTTTCTTTTTTCTTTTTTTTAGTGAGGCAATTGGGGTTAAGACTTGCCCAAGGTCACACAGCTAGTAGGGTCAAGTGTTTGGTCTGAGGCCGGATTTGAACTCAGGTCCTCCTGACTTCAGGGCCAGGTGCTTTATTCCCCTCCCATTAGAGATTTGGAACATTATTTCATACATTTGTTCATAGGTTGCCATTTTTCTTTTGAGAGCTATTTTTTCATATCTTGTTGGGTAATGGCTTTTAGGCATTAGGCATTGTGTCCCAAAAGTCTTAGTGCACTGTTCAAGCCTCTATTTCTCATTCTCTGTCTCTCTCTAATATCTGGTAGGGTAAGAAGCTTCAGCAGTCCCTTTCTTACCTGAGCATATTTACAGCTGAAAACAAAACTCCATAGTAAAGTGCTTTCATTTTTCTAAAGTTATTCTTTCATATCATAGTTCCCCTAGTATCACAGACATGAGGTCTCCCAGGAAGCAGTCACTAGATCAGGGGTTATTAAGCTTTTTTCCCTTTTGGCAATCTTTTAAATCCTATAAATCCTTTCTCAAAATAATGTCTTTAAATATGTAAATAAAATGCATAGGATTTACAAAGGAATTCAATTATACTGAAATGTAGCTATCAAAATATATTTTTAAAAGTTTACAGATCCCTGTTTAAGAACCCCTGCACTAGATGAACTGTCTGCTATTGTAGCTTATATTACTGGTTTCTGTCTACAATTTCATGGCGGCTTAAAGGTGACTGATGTTGGGGTGTGTCCTTTCTTCTAGTATTTGGATAGCCCTCCCAACTGCATCAGTATTTCCCATGGTCAGTCATTCAATCCACAAGCCCTTACTATTTGCCAGGGACTGTGCTAAGCACGGGAGTACAAACACAAGCAAAAAGAAAGAGTTCTTGCTGTCCAGAAGATTACATTCTAGTAGGGAAAGGAAACACTTTAAAAAGGAAGCTAAAAAATATCTACGCTTGCGTGTGTGTGTGTGTGTGTGTGTGTGTGTGTGTGTGTGTGTGTGTGTGTATGTATGTGTAGGGGGGGGAATAGGGGCATGATGGAGTCTCAATTGTAGCCTGCTAAGAAATGAATTTAAAAAAAAACAAAGATTTCGGCAACTATTCCCATCACTTTCTGACAAATAGAGGGGGAAGAAATGGAAACCGCGTCAGATTTTATATTCTTATGCTTAAAGACTGCTGTAGGGACAATTGCAGTCATGAAATTAAAAGGTGCTTGCTCCTTGGAAGGAAAACTGTGTCTACTCTGTACAGCACACTAAAGCAGAGACACTGCCTTGCTGACAAAGTTCTGTATAGCTAAAGCTGTGGTTTTTCTAGTGGCAGTGTATGGCTATGAGAGTTGGATTGTAAAAAAAAGCTGAGTGCCGCAGAATCAACACCTTTGAATTGTGGTGCCAAAGAAGACTTTGGAGAGTCCCTTGGACAGCAAGGAGATCAAATCAGTCAATACTTAAAGAAATTAACTCAGGCTATTCACTGGGAGGTTAAATACTGGAGCTTCAGCTTAAATACTTTGGTCACAAATGAGAAGATGGGACTCAGTGGAAAAGACCCTGATTTGGGGAAAGATGGAAGGCAAAAGGGAAAGGGAATGACGGAAAAGAAGGGATGAATGGATAGTGTCATGGAAACAATGAACATGAGCTTGGACAGACTTTGGGAGAAAGTGAAGAATAGAAGGGCCAGGTATGAGACGGTACATGAGGTCACGAAGAGTTGGACATGACTGAACAACAACACAGTAACAACAACCACCACCACTGGGAGGCCCCCCTAAATGGAGATGATGGAAGGGGCCGTCTAATCAGAGGGAGAAGTCTAAAGTGCTGAGGTCCTTCTGAGGTGAGAATTCCAGGACTAACATTTTCTTTCAAGATGAACTGTTTTCTGGGGCATGATGGAGGAGTCTGGAGTAGAGCTTGGAGAGAAATAAATTGTACCCTCTGAGTCCAGGTCCCCAGGAGGATCACCTTCCCAACCATCTCTCAGTTCTCCACACTTCACCTGGGCCGCCGGTGGGGTTATTTGTCAAGGAAGAAGAGGGAATCAGTGTGAAATTAGAGGAATATGGAAGAATTGGAAAAGATGGAGAATCAACATTACCAGCTGCTGTCCTTAGGAGGGGACTGGAAGTCCAATAAATGTTTTCTCCATGAGTCAATAAGATTTTGCTTTTCTTCCTTTGGTTAGAAGATGAAAGCAAACAGCAGAGTGAACAGAGATAATGGAGCATAGGGATCTGACCAAGGCCACGAAAGGAAATGGAAAAATACAGAGAAAAGTAATGTGAAATACTAGTGTTGTTTGTGTGGTTAGGAGATCCTGTAGTGTTTTCAGGAGGTGGTTGGAAAGAGGAGGGGTAAAAAGAAGAGGTGGAAAAATAAAAAGAAAAGGGAGAAATGTACCTCTGTGTGTGTGTGTGTGTGTGTGTGTGTGTGTGTGTGTGTGTGTGTATTGATGTGTGTATTTAAAGGAAGGAGAAAAACAGAAGTATTGTAAAGGAATAAAAGAACCAAGTAACCAAGGAAGGAAGACTTCCCCAGACTCCTTCTTAGGGCAGGGTAAAATCAAAACTGGAAAGATTCAGCAAGTTCATTCAGTCCAGCCCTGTGCCTGATTTATCAGTCCTTTCTACTGCATCCCTGACAAGTGCTTTCCAGCCTCTGCCTAAACATTATCATTGGAGACTGACTCACTTTCCCACGAGGCAACCTGTTCTATTTTCAGCCACCTCTAATTGTTAGAAAATTCTTCTCTGAGGCTGAAATCTGCCTCGATGTAACTTCTACCTTTTATTTCAGTCCTCTTTCTATCCTCTCCAGAGAACTCCTAGTCTGCTCCTTTTTCCACGCAACAGCCAGAAAGAAATTTGAAGACAGTATGATGCTCACCTCGACCAATTATTCTCTTCTTCAGTTACTCCTCTTTCTCCAATTGTTTTTCCATATGACATGAACACCTGACTTGGGAATTCTTGATTAGATGATCTCCAAGTTTCCTTCCAGCTCTAAAACCATGTTCCTATGATCTCGTGACAATATTACTATATGAATCCTTCCCTAATCCCCTCTGCTGCTTGGGTTGTACATATTCAGTATATTCTCATAGAGCTACATTTTAACTCCAGTCAGGAGTAAAGCTCCTTGTGATTAGGGATCATTTGCTTTTGTCTTTGTCTTTGTCTGACTTTGTCTGCTATAGTGCCCAGTCACATCAGGCTTGTGATATATTGCTTGATTCCAGATAAGGTTCTGACCAGAGACTGGTGAAGTAGGGCTAACAACCCTTCCCTTCCCCCCTTTTGAATGTGATACTCATTCAGCCAAAGATCTCACTGGGTTTTTGGTAACCACACCACCCTCAGGGTGCATATGGAATTTGCCATCAATTAAAACCTCCAGATTTTTTTTTTCCACATGAACTACTCATCTATTCCATGCTGTAGTTTGGCAATGGATTTTTAAGCACTTAAGTGCAGTTCTTAACATTTATCTCTATGGAATTTCATTAGATTTAGCTCAGCATTTCACTATATCATGTAAGAATGCCCATAGATCTCTATTTTGTCATTTAACATCTAAGCTATCCTCCTTAGCATAGCATTCCCTCTGGGTTCATTCACTAGCAAGTTGGATCCTCAGAGGGTGGCTTCTACTCCTACTGCCTAGGGTTCAAGAGATAATTCAAAGGGGCTGAGATTGCTGATGTTAATGAGCCCCCATCTGGTATGTTTCCCACAATATTAATCAATCAGCTGACATCAATTAGCTTTTTTTTTAGAGGGAATTTATTTAGAACATATAACAAGAACAGTAGACTTGACTGAGAAGGTATGGCAAGAACAAAATAATTCCCACAAACCAGAGGGAACATTTTTCCTTCACACACACATGCACGCACGCACGCACGCCCCTAGTAAGAGTGGGATCAAACTTATATTGCTATTCCAATGAGATACATGAGGTTGTAGGGAACATGAGGGGCTCAGGGATACCCTTGACTCCTGGCCCCAAGGAATTCCTATCAAGTCTATTTTGGGTTGAGGACATTTGGACATGGACAAGTGGCTCCCTGATTCATCTTGGCTGGTTCCTTATGAGACCGAGTGTGTTGGCCGAGATGGGGCATTCCATTGTTGCGCTAGGTAGAACAGGTTGCTCCTCAAGGCTGACTCTTCACTTGATTCAGCTACTTCTGCTACTGTTTCCATTGATCTCTATTACCAATTCTAGCTGCTGAGTGCATGACTCTTCTGACCTTTTGAAGTTCATGAGGTTATAACCTGGTCAACTCATGCATCTATAATGAGGAAAAAATAAACAGAAGAGACCAAAGGAACAGATGCATCATAAATTCCAGCTAGGTGGAAGATAGAGGCAGCTACCCTTCCTCCACCTGGAGGCTCATAGCAGTCCGCTTCAGGAGAAGATTGCCAGGAAAAAGAGCACGTTGATTCAGGTTGGGCTTGGCCTTTCTGGTATCATTGGTTCTTTTGTCTCCTCAGGCAATCAGAAGAGTCTTTCACTCTATGGTACCAGGCTCTTGCTCATTCTTGGCCAGGAGAAGGCTCCCCAGGCCTTCTATTGGATTGAAATCAAGTAAGATATAGTTTGCATGCTCTATGTGACTTACCAGGAAGGGCAAAAATGAGGATGCTCCAAGGACTAGGCTGTCAGTGTCCAGTCCCCTGTTATACTAGTGTCATGTCATCTGTGTGAGAAGCAGTGTGATTTAGTGGAAAAAAACATTGTGTTTGAAGTCAAAGGACTTGGATGTGGATTCTATCTCTGCTATTTTTGACCTGTGTGACCTCCAGCCTTATTCCATATATCTAGATTTCAGTTTTCTCATTGTAAAATGAAGATGTTCAACTAGGTCATTTCAGGTCTAATGAACCAGTTAGGTACGCATAAGATAAGCATGCTATTTATTTCTTCATTGAAGTTACTAATAAAAAATATTGGACAAGACATAGCCAAAGATAGAACTCTGTAGCACTCCAGTAGAGACTACTCTTCAAGACAACATCAACTTATTATTCAATGATATTCAGGTAATGCCTTTCAACCAACTTAGAGTCCCACTCTCTCCATCTTGTCCATAAGGATGTGGTGAAGGGGGCTAACAAATGCCTTCTTGAAATCTAGTTTCACCACGTCTACCACATTTTCTCGGACTGCTTCCTTCCTTTCCTCCTTTCCCAGGTATGACTTCACTCTCAATAACTGTCAACTGTAATCCCACTGATCTTAAAATATTGGAAGAAATGAAGAGTAGGTTTTCCTCTTCAGAGTATAACAATGCTGAAGTACCACCTTACATTCATAAAATAGGCAAAAATAACTAAAAGCTATGAAGCTTGGTGCTGTTGAGGTTGAATTGTCCCTGTTGAGCAATGACACATTCCTTATTAGTGGAGTTGCAAACTTATGTACACTTTTGTGAAGTACTATAGCAGTATACTGTAAAAGTTATGAAAATAACAATAACTTCTGACCCAATAATCCTATAATTGGGATAGCCTTAAAGTATTATCACAAACAACAGAATAACTGTTTACACAAAAATTTTCTTAATGGCATTATATATAATCAATTTATACCTCAACCAATAGTGTTTTCTATGCCTGTTTTCTTGTAACCTCTCCAATATTTGTAATTTTCCTTATATTAAATCACCTTCACCAGTCTGATGGATGTAAGGTAGAACCTCAGAGTTGTTTTAATTTATATTTCTCTAATAATTAGGAGCATTTTTTTCATGTGGTTATTGATAGCTTGGATTTCTTCCCTTGAGATCAGCCTGTGTCATTCAATAAAAACTGAAAACAACCTAAATATCCAATAATAGGAAAGTGGTTGAGTAAATGGGAGCACATTAATTAAATAGAATACAGGTATGAAGTATGCAAAGTAATCTAGAAAGCTCCATATGGAACACTGCAAAGTAAAGGAAGCAGAATCTGAAGGTTGGAGTCTATTCAATGACCATGTAGCAGGAAAAGTGAATAAGAATGAAGGAATGAATGAACAAAGAATTCTGAAAAAGACTTAGAGAGAGTAACTGAAAACATTTTTTTAGGATACTTTATGCTAAGCGGCATAATGGATAGAACCCCTGGGCCTAGAATCAGGAAGACCTAGTTCAAATTTGGCCTTAGACATTAACTATGTGACCCTGGGTAAGTCATTTAACTCTGTTTGCCTCATATGAACTGGAGAAGGAAATGGCAAACCCCTTCAGTATCTTTGCCAAGAAAACCCCGTCATGAAGAGTTGGGCATAATCGAAACAACCAAACAATAGCACGCATTGAAAAATGATTTTTAAGCACATTCAGTTGGTTGTATTCATGTTCAGGGCTAATCTTTCAATAGTACATTATTTTTAAAAGAATAATTTTTCCTCATGGAAAAATTGAGTAGCCTTTCTAATCGGGATATTTATATATAGTCGTAGGCCCAGATCTTTTGATCAGTGGTGATTGAATATGTGTTTCCATGTTCATCGTGGCCCTACGAAGCCTACCACCTAACACTGCTCTGTGATTAGACTTCTTGTTGGAGCTCCATCATACCTTTGTCTCCATATTTGTGCGGAAGTGATGCTTCCCTTCTCCCCCTTCTCACCTCCCAGAGATTAAATGAACTAATGTCTCTAGAGCTCCGTCCAGGGCCCTCAGAAAATGGGCAGCAATAAGTAAATGCCTTGGTCTGATTAGTGGAAAAAATGAGTTCCTTTTTAAGGCTGCGGGCTGAGCTGAGTACATCAACCTTACTCCGGATATTTGACTTCCTGAATCTTCCTGTGAACAATGCCATCTCTGTCTCACCCCTTGGTGAGCAGCCCTGGGAGAACCAGGTTCATTCATGTCACATGTCCTGTTCCTGGAGTGAGTCACTGGAGAATTGGGCTGCAGTTTTAACCTTCACCATGGAGGGAGGTGAGAAGTGTATTAGAATAGAAATCTTTCAACCCTGGTGCTTAATGTTCCCTTCCAACAACATTTTGCCCTGGGCCTTGATATGGCAAAAGGCAAATGAGGGTCACAGAATGAAGGCCAGTAGACTGAGTGACCTGCTCGGAATCTTCCAACAAAAACCCTTTCAGCTTTGCTCGGTTTAGTTTGAATTATCTGGTGGCAAACTCAGTGGTGAATGCTCTTCAGTGCTTGCAACTTATCCGTAAATGAAACTTTTCTCTGATGAAACTCTATCTGCAAAGCAGATATTTTTGACAGTATAAAAAAAAAATGAATGACCACCTGTCAGAGAATTTGGAGAGGAGATGCTTGTTAGGTACCAGTTTGGACGACAGGGCTTCCAAGATTCCTTCTACCTCTGACATTCTGTTATTAACAGACATTTTTTTCTTAATAAATTAGGTATTTGTTTTTTTAAATCAGACCTGTGATATCATTAGCATGGGGAAATGCTGGTGAGAAGCTGCCACAGATTGGCAATTTATGGTCTTAGAGAGTTTCCTGGGCCTTGATGGGTTAAATGACTTGCCAAGGATCTCACAGCCAATATGTCAGAAATGAATCTTGAACTGAAGTTTTGCTGATTCTGAGGCCAACTCTTTATCTACTATGTCATGCTTTGTGATTTTAAATAATAATAGTTCATAAATATAGAGAGGAGTCAGTCTTCAGGCATTGATTAACACTAGAAGGACTAGGCATGATAATTGATGCATAAAATTTATTATAATTTTACTCTGAAGTAAAATTGTTCATCCTATCTTTATTTTCTTTGCCTTGTGGATTTTTAAAATGCATTGTGCCAATTGATGCAGCTTAATCCTTTGAGGTTTTATTAAATTCTGTTCTTTCATTAAGAGCTTATTATGTGTCAGGTACTTTGCTGAGAGCTGGGGATATATAGAAAGGCAAAAACTGCCCTTCCCCCATGTCACCTAGCAGTTCTGTGAGGGAAGTAGCCAAAGTATTGTTCCATTTTACAGATGAAGAAAATGAGGCTTTGTGACATCTAACTGATGGCTGTCAGAGTTGGTATTCAGAGCCAAGCATATTTCTGGAAGCTCTCTTGTTTCTAAATTCAACATCCTAACCCCAAACTCAGGACTCTTTCTATAGCACCAAGCTGCGTCCTCCATCATTGTTGACGTTTTCCAAAGCAAAGGATGTGAGAATGGCCAATATTTCAAAGATCTGTGGCTTCCTCACTGTGAGACTGAACCGAAAAGGGGTAATAGAGGCAGAGGAGACTCCCACAGTAATGGAATTTCAACTTGAAAACTACAAATCTTTTGATGACATATTCACATGATGACATATTCATCACGGGTGACTCATGGGCCAATCCATATATGGCCTTCCAAATTCCTCCTTTCCTAAAGTTAGACCAGGACTCCTGAAAATTCTGGTAGATACCCACAGAGGAGGAAATATGATGTAGTGGAAAGAGGTAGTCAGCAGACCTGACTCTGTTGCAATTAGCTGTGTGACCTTGTGCCTCAGAGACATGACTTCAATGGAAGGAACACAAAAGAATAAATTGAAGGGTTTGCACTACATGGTGCTAAGGTTCTCTGCTAGCTTTCAGATTCCATCATTGTTTTGGAAAGTGTCACAGCACCTCAGACTGCAGCTGGGGCACAGAGAAGTCTAACAGAACTGGATTTGAATCCCTGCTCTGCATTTAATTCCTTTGTGACCTTGGGCAAGTCACTCAGTTTTTCTCAACCTCAGTTTCCCCAGCTCTCAGAGAAGATGGTTGGAATGGATGGTGTTTAAAGTTCCTTCTAGTCATCTTATTTTTTTTTTTGTATTACACCATTAAGCTAAACAAAAATAAAAACCACTTCCAAAAACCACCACAAATCAAATTTGCACTGTCCTCTGTAGCATCCTCCACTCCTTGAAAAGCCCCACCTGGATTTCAAGGAGACATCTGAATGATGGCCTTGGAGTTAAATTTCTATATTCCACTCCAGGTCCTAGAACTTGTTATAAATCTAAGAGCTGCTACTTACTGGCTCTTTGGCTTTGAGAAAGTTGTATCATCACTCTAGGCTTCGATTTGTGAAATGAGAGGGATTGGTTTTGCTGTTCACTCAAATCACTTCCAGGTCAAAATCCTACCTGGCTCTACCATATACTAGTAGCCTTTCTGCCATAGCCTTCATTTCAATCTCGTCCAGCTATGTAAGATACCGAGCTGTGAAGTCAGAATGACAGGCCGCAGAGAGAACTCTGTTGGGTCCAGTCCAGACCTTCAGAAGGTTGTCCCACAGGAGATGCATCTCAAGAGCCCTTCATTCCTGAAAGCAAGAAGA